CGAGCATTCGGCCATTGTTCGCACGACCTGTACCTTTGCGAGCGGGGCCGTGTTACTGAAGGCGTACCTTTGCGATGCGCTGTGTACGGAGCGTAACCTTTGCGAGCGCGTGTACGAGCGTACCTTCGCGAGCGTCGTGTACGAGAGTACTTTGCGAGCTATACGCTGTGCACGAGCGTCCCTTTGCGACGCCGTGTTGTACGAGTGTACCTTTGCGAGTGCGTGTACGAGGCGTGACCTTTGCGAGCAACGTGTAACGAGCGCACCCTTTTGCTGAGCGCGTGTACGAGCGTACCTTTGCGAGCAACAGTGTTACGAGCGCGTGTACGAGCGTACCTTGCGAGCGCTGTGTACGAGCATGCGTGTACGAGCGTAACCTTTGCGAGCACGGTGTACGAGCGGAGGAAGCAAGCTTCGCATCGACGACGCGCTGGATCTGTGTCGTGTTGCCCAGCAGGTGATGTTGACAACGTCCACGCCGCCTCCTTCTGGACGTTGATCGCCTGTGTTGATGCTGGGAGCAGCAGCGCGAAAGCTGGAAAGCACCCGGCGTCCACATGACAACCTGCAACGGCAGAGAGAACCTTTTTAGTAGCGGAGAGAGCATTTTCATCAGAGCTGGACATGGCTTGCTAGAGGATCGGCCACACCATCAAGCGGAGAGAGAAAGAGAGCGTTTTTTAAATGAATCTTGAGAACTTGCTACTAAGCGACGGGAAAACACCCAAGGCTGGGAGAGACGTAATGAATTGTCAAATCTGGACAGAGTTTGCTGGCAATGCTAGTGAGGAGAAGACACCCAGCAGCACAGAGAGAGCGCCGCTTTTTAATCGGAAAGAGTTATGCCAGCATGGCGAACTACAACTGTAGGCAGAGAGAGAAAGTAGGGTCATTTTTCTCAAAAGGTGGACGACTTGCTGGTGAGAAAAACACCACCTGCAGCAGGGAGACAATCCAGACTATTTTTCGAATCTGGAACAGAGTATGCTAATGAGGAAAACACCCCCCAGCAGGCAAGGAAGATACAAACTTCTATACGATCTAGAGATAAAGTGCTAGCCTGGTAGTCCTAGCAAGGGAATCGCGCCGCCGTTCTTCGTTTTCGTCCCCGTTTTCCGTGTAGGCATCACTCCTGATCCAACGCTCGCTACACAAGTGACAGGAAGACGTCGAACGAGCACACGCCTGCCGGCGAATGCGACAGACGATGCCAAGCGTCCGTCGTCGTCACGACAGACACTGCAGGCGTCGCGGTCGTCCGTCGTCGTCACGAACAGAACGATGCACGACGCTCTCGTCACGACAGACGATGCAGCGACGTCTGTCGTCACGACAGAGCGATGCAGCGACGTCAGTCGTTAAGACAGGACAATACATCGTGCGGTCGTCGCACTGACAGACGATGCAGCGTCGTCGTCGTCGTCGTACACCGATCCACGACGATGCAGCGTCGTCGTCAATCGTGTCACGACAACAGATGCACGCGTCGTCTTCGTCGCGAAACAGACGATTGCAGCGTCGTCGTCGGTCGTCGTTACACACAGACGAATGGCCAGCGTCGTCGTCGTCGTCACGACAAGACGATGCAGGCCGTCCGTCGTCGTCGTCACGACAGACGATGCAGCGTCACGTCCGTCGTCTGTCCGACAGACGATGCAGCGTCACCGTCGTCGTCGTCGTCACGACAGACGATGCAGCGTCGTCGTCGTCAGTCGTCGTCGTCTACGACAGACGATGGCAGCGTCGTCGTCGTCGTCGCGCAGCGCTGCGGCACCTACCTGCGTCTGCGAGTCGGTCGCCCGTTGACGATGTTTCCGACGCTCCTACGCGGGCCGTGAGGACGGCCGACTGTCGCTGGCAGGTAGAGGCAGCTCTCACGAGACCGTGCAATGACGCCCGACGCACACCACCTGCAGGCGAGACAATGTAAAGTGAGACAATGTTAGTGAAGAGCAATGATGACAACTAGTGGGATGCTGATGCCACACCAGCAGCGAGACAATGTAAGTGAGACAATGTAGTGAGACCAATGATGACAACTGTGGATCGATGGCCACCACCAGCAGCGGACAATGTATGAGACAATGAATGACAACATAGTGGGATGGCGATGCCACCACCAGCTAAGCGAGACAATGTAGTGAGACAAGTGTAGTGAGACAATGATGACAAACTAGTGGGATCGATGCCACCACCAGCAGCGAGACAATGTAGTGAGAACAATGATGGACAACTATGAGATCGATGCCACCACACCAGCACGAGACAATGTTAGTGAACAATGATGAAACTAGTGGGAATGATGCCGAACCACCAGCATCGGAACAATGTAGTGAGATACAATGAGTGAGAAGCAATGATGACAACTAGTGGATCGAAGCCACCACCAAGCAGCGAGACAATGTAGTGAGACAATGTAGTGAGAGCAATGATGACAAACTAGTGGATCGAAGCCACCACCAGCAAGCGAGGACAAGTAAAGTGAGACAATAGTAGTGGACAATGGGATGACACACTAGTGGATCGATGCCTACCACCAGCAGCGAGACAATGTAGTGAGAACAATTAGTGAGACAATGATGACAACAGTGGGAATCGAAGCCACCACTCAGCAGCGAGACAATGTAGTGAGACAATGTAAGTGAGACAATGATGACAACTAGTGGATCGAAGCCACCACCAGCAAGCGAGACAATGTAGTTGAAGACAATGTAGTGAGACAATGATGACAACTAGTGGATCGATGCGAACACCAGCAGCGAGACAATAGTATGAGACAATGTAGTGAGACAATGATGACAACTAAGTGGATCTGATGCCACCACCAGCACGAAGAACCAATGTCATGTGAGACAATGGTAGGAGACAATGAATGACAACTAGTGGGATCGATGCATCCACCAGCAGGCGAGACAATGTAGTGAGACAATGATGATCAACTAGTGGGATCCGATGCCCACCCACCAGCAGCGAGAACAATGTTAGTGAGACAATGATCGACAACTAGTGGGATCGATGCCACCACCCAGCAGCGAGACAATGTAGTGAGACAATGATGACAACTATGGGATCGATGCCACACCGCAGCGAGACCAATGGAGTGAAGACAATGTAGTGAGACAAATGATGACAACTGAGTGGGATCGGATGCAACCACCTGCAGCGAGACATTGTAGTGAAGAACAATGATGACAACTAGTGGGATGGCGATGCAACCACCTGCAGCGAGACAATGTAGTGAGACAATGTAGTGAGAACAATGATGACAACTAGTGGATCGATGCCACCACCAGCCAGCGAGAGACAATGAAGACAATGCAGCGAGAACTTCGTACAAATAATTACCGAGGGGGCCACACAGACGGCGAGTGATACCCTCGTCAGGCCCGACCGGCTACCCACGCAGCGAGAAAACAGCAGCCCGCGATGTAGTAAGGACTCGTATGACTGATGACTGTCAACCCGGGGAAGCGCACACACGCACAGCCACTCACGACCTACAACATGAACGCGCTCACGCGCATGCACATCATGCTCACACCTCCGTGACCGCCCAAACCATCCCGCCACCCACCCATCAACCAACACGCCCACCCCCCCTCCCCCGCAACACCTCTCTCCCGCGTACCCTCTGTATCTTGTCGTGCGGTGAAGTAGGACAGCGCCCGCAGGTGCCGTCGAGCCCACATACGCACCCACACCCCCTGCCCCCGCCACAGTACACCAAACCCACCCGCTCGCCCCCGCCTGCTGCGCTTACCTCGCTGTATCTTGTCGTTGGTGCTGTCGGTGCAGTAGGACAGCGCCCAGCAGGTGTCCGTGACACGCCTCCTTGTCGGGTGGTGCCACCGAGAGGCCGCCGCGAGCGTTCGCCCAAGGATTGCTTGACGATGTCGAACGCGGCGGCGGTTCTTGTTTGCGGCACCATCCCCCTCCACCCAGGTTTCGAGATCGCCACCAGTTCACATTGCCGCAGAAACGGCGCGGGCGTCGACGGCCGGTGCACAGCGACAGCAGCGCTTCACCACCTCTCCCCAGCCGCGGGATCACAAGTCCCAGCCGAACTCCCGCGTCCGTCGCCTGGCGAGGGAGGCGGCGCCACACGCGCACCCGGAGAAAACGAAACATTGGCCGCGTTTTAAGCGAATGACTATCACGGAGGTGGCGGGCAAAATTCATTATTTTTATTATTTTATTATAGTTTTTTTAAATCATAATTGAACAGGGGTTCATAATAATCTAATGAACAGGGGGGGGGGGAAGAGTGTAATAGCCGGGTTGTAATTTAGCAAAACGAACATCAAATTCAGCCGGCGGGCGCGACTAGCATGGCATAAGATCTAGTCTACCGCAAAACTATTACGTCGATCAAACAACGGGCGGCGCGAAAACAAAACGATGGCGACGCAGGGCACGACAACGCCGCTTGCCCGGGGCAAGCAAATTCGCCCCAAGGGCAAGTACGCGTATATGCTCGCGTATAGACCACACCGCAAATTTGGCCTCCAGAATTTCAACCTCGTATTTGTCTGCGGTTTATAATTCGCCATACTCTCTCACCGTGAGGGAAATATACCTAAAAGGCCGCAATACTTGGTTTACCCGATTCAACATTGAGCGGTGCGGCTTATAGGCGGCGCGGTTATTACGATCATATACGGTAGCTTAAAATTGCACTTGCCCGTTCAGGCAAGCAAGTTTTTTTATTGAATGTCTAACATAAATGATATTTTCTGTTTCCACCTGTCCCTTGCATTGTTTTGTACAGACACACATCGCGCCATTGCAATGAGGAATTTGAATGAAAAAAAAACCACAATGGCGATATGAAACAATCGTGAATGACAGTGATGTACACAACGTAGACTCGACGGTCGTCCGCGGAGGGGAGCGGTAGACTCGACGGTCGTCCGCGGAGGGGAGCGGTAGACTCGACGGTCGTCCGCGGAGGGGAGCGGTAGACTCGACGGTCGTCCGCATGCTGCTTACTGTATCGGAGTGCACTAGTCTGCTAGTAGAACTAGTTTTGATTCCAATGTTTTTTTCACTGTTGTGTCATTCTTACGTTGCACTTTTCCTTCAAGACGTTACGGAGTTTTTAATTCTAACGTTTTCCTATTGTACTCACGTCACACTTTTTCTTCTGGACATTAGAGCTTTGATTACAATGTTTTCTGCTGTTCTGTCATTTTCACGCTGCGCACGTTTCGTTCTAGGCGAGCGACAAGATGGGACAGCTGGAGGCGGCGTCGCTAATGGTGGAGGAGTGCGGGGGGCTGGATAAGATCGAGCAGCTGCAGACGCACGAGAGCGAAGACGTCTTCCAGGCGGCCGTCGACCTCATCGACAAGTTCTTCAGCGCGGAGGTGAGCGCGGCGCCACCTGCGGGCGTTGGCCGGAGTTTCTTTTATATATTTTTTTTATTGTGTTGGTTTGCAGTGTGAACGGGATCTGATTTATATAATAGTGAGTAAATTTTAATTTACGTTTGTCAAAACGTATTTCACTCTTGTTCATAATTCTCTTCTGTTCATTTGAAATTGTTTGGACAGTGCTCTGTGATCGCTAATTCGTGCAGGCATCAGCCAAAGAGGAGGGTGTGTGGTCGGGTTCATCTGTGGGGTTTGCAAATACAGCAGAGATTATGTTTTTCTTTTATTTTGCTTTTCTTTAGGATGATGAGGATCAGAATGTGGCGCCATCAACAGGAGAGAGTGGGAAATTCGACTTCGTTCCGAATGAAGCAGCGGCAATGCCAACTGGTGGATTTTCGTTTTGAATGGACATAGCATAGAATGGACAGCATAATCACTGAAGTGTATACATACCGACAGGATAGCTGTGTGTTGTACATTAAAACGATTGGCTAGAAAATTGATGTAGACTTGGGATATAGCGTACATCACTGCATATGTTTAGAAATAATGTTCGTGTAATAGCTGGATTGTACATTATAAATCAAAATTTCTGGACGTTCTGTATTTTCTCTATTGAAATTTATTGCGATTTCCCCGCCACCCAGCCTGGGAGTTACATTGAACCGAACTAGTTATTTTACATGATTCTGTTGTCATATAAAGTGACTCGGCATTACTCTAGACCCTATCCAAAGCTGATAGTCGGCAGGGTTGTTGGATGATCCGCAAAATCGGCTAATTGAAATCTGATTAATTAGCGCCGCCCGTTGTTTGATCGACTTTAGTTTTGCGTAGACTAGATCTTAGCCATCGCTAGTTCGCGGCCCGCCGTGCAATTGATGTTCGTTTTGCATAAATTACAACCCGGTCTATTCACTCTTCCCCACCACCCCCGTTCAATTATTATTATGAACCCCTGTTCAATTATTATTTAAAAAAAAACTATAATAAAATAATAAAAATAAATGAATTTTGCCCGCCACCTCCGTATAGTCGATCTCGCTAAAACGCGCAATGTTTTCGTTTTCTCCGTGCGCGTGTGCGCCGCCTCCCTCGCCAGGCGACGGACCGGAGCTTCGTGACTTTGTGATCCGCGCCGGGGTCGTGAAGCCGCTGCTGTCGCTCGTCACGCCGTCGACGCCCGCGCCGTTCCTGCGCAACGTCACGTGGACGATCTCGAACCTGTGCCGCAACAAGAACCCGCCGCCGCCGTTCGACACCGTCAAGCAGATCCTGGCGACGCTCGCGCGCCTCGTGCACCACTCCGACAAGGACGTGCTCACGGACACCTGCTGGGCGCTGTCCTACTGCACCGACGGCACCAACGACAAGATACAGGAGGTAGGCAAGCAGGCGGGGGGCGGAGCAGGGTGGGTTGTGTACGTGTGGGGCGGGGGTGTGGTGTGCGTATGTGGGCTCACGGACACCTGCTGGGCGCTGTCCTACTTCACCGACGACAAGATACAGGAGGTATTCGCGTAGGGAGTGTGCGGGGGTGGGCGGTTGGTTATGGGTGGGTGTGCATGAGTGTGGTGTGGTAGGGTGTGGTGTGGTAGGGTGAGCATGAATGTGCATGCGTGCGTGCGCGCGCTCATGTGTAGGTGTGAGTGCGTGCGTGTGTGGGCCTCCCCGGGTTGACAGTCATCAGTCACCTGAGTCTTACTACATCGCGGGCGCGTTTTCTCGCTGCAGGTGGTAGCGTCGGGCATCACCTCGCGTCTGTGTGGCCCCCTCGGTAATTATTTGTACGAGTCTCGCTGCATTGTCTCTCGTTGTCTCTCATTGTCCCACTAGTTGTCATCATTGTCTCACTACATTGTCTCGCTGCTGGTGGTGGCATTGATCTCACTAGTTGTCATCATTGTCTCACTACATTGTCTCGCTGCTGGTGGTGGCATCGATCCCACTAGTTGTCATCATTGTCTCACTACATTGTCTCGCTGCTGGTGGTGGCATCGATCCCACTAGTTGTCATCATTGTCTCACTACATTGTCTCTCTACTGGTGGTGGCATCGATCCGTCATCATTGTCTCACTACATTGTCTCGCTGCTGGTGGTGGCATCGATCCCACTAGTTGTCATCATTGTCTCACTACATTGTCTCGCTGCTGGTGGTGGCATCGATCCCACTAGTTGTCATCATTGTCTCACTACATTGTCTCTCTACTGGTGGTGGCATCGATCCCACTAGTTGTCATCATTGTCTCACTACATTGTCTCTCTACTGGTGGTGGCATCGATCCCACTAGTTGTCATCATTGTCTCACTACATTGTCTCACTACATTGTCTCACTACATTGTCTCGCTGCTGGTGGTGGCTTCGATCCCACTAGTTGTCATCATTGTCTCACTACATTGTCTCACTACATTGTCTCGCTGCTGTGTGGCATCGATCCCACTAGTTGCATCATTGTCTCACTAATTGTCTCACGTACATTGTCTCGGCTGTCTGGTGGTTGGCTTCGATCCACTAGTTGTCATCATTGTCTCACTACATTGTCTCACTACATTGTCTCGCTGCTGTGGTGGGGCTTCGATCCACTAGTTGTCATCATTGTCTCACTACATTGTCTCACTACATTGTCTCGCTGGTGCTGTGGTGGCATCGATCCCACTAGTTGTCATCATTGTCTCACTACATTGTCTCGCTGCTGGTGTGCATCGATCTCATAGTTGTCATCATTGTCTCACTACATGTCTCGCTGCTGGTGGTGGCATCGATCCCACTAGTTGTCATCATTGTCTCACTACATTGTCTCACTACATTGTCTCGCTGCTGGTGGTGGCATGCGATCCCACTATTGTCATCATTGTCTCACTACATTGTCTCGCTGCTGGTGGTGGCATCGATCCCACTAGTTGTCATCATTGTCTCACTACATTGTCTCACTACATTGTCTCGCTGCTGGTGGTGGCATCGATCCCACTAGTTGTCATCATTGTCTCACTACATTGTCTCACTACATTGTCTCGCTGCAGGTGGTTGCGTCGGGCGTCATCACGCGTCTCGTGGAGCTGCTCTACTGCAGCGACGTCGCCGTCCTCACGCCCGCGCTCAGGAGCGTCGGAAACATCGTCACGGGCGACGACTCGCAGACGCAGGTAGGTGCGCAGCGCTGCGGCGACGACGACGACGACGCTGCATCGTCTGTCGTGACGACGACGACGACGACGACGACGCTGCATCGTCTGTCGTGACGACGACGACGACGACGACGCTGCATCGTCTGTCGTGACGACGACGACGTGACGCTGCATCGTCTGTCGTGACCGACGACGGACGACGCTGCATCGTCTTCGTGACGACGACGACGACGCTGCATCTCGTCTGTCGTGACGACGACGACGACGACGCTGCATCGTCTGTCGCGACGAAGACGACGCTGCATCGTCTGTCGTGACGACGATGACGACGACGCTGCATCGTCTGTCGGTGACGACGACGACGACGACGCTGCATCGTCTGTCGTGACGACGACGACGATGTATTGTCTGTCTTAACGACGACGACGCTGCATCGTCTGTCGTGACGACGACGTCGCTGCATCGTCTGTCGTGACGACGACGTCGCTGCATCGTCTGCTCGTGACGACGACGAGACGACGACGCCTGCATCGTCTGTCGTGACGACGACGACGCTGCATCGTCTGTCGCATCGCCGGCAGGCGTTTGCTCGTCGACGTCTTCTGTTCACTGTGTGCGAGCGTTGGATCGGAGTGATGCTACACGAAAACGGGGACGAAAGACGAAGACGGCGGCGCGATTTCCTTGCTAGGACTCCAGCTAGCACTTATCTCTAGATTCTATAGAAATTGTCTACTCTCCCTGCTGCTGGGGTGTTTTCCTCATTAGCAACTCTGTCCAGATTCGAAAAAAGTCTGATTGTCTCCTGCTGCAGGGGTGTTTTTCTCACCAGCAAGTCGGTCCACCTTTGAGAAAAATGCCCTACTTTCTCTCTCTGCTACAGTTGTAGTTCGCCATGCTGGCAACTCTTTCCCGATTAAAAAGCTCTCTCTGTGCTGCTGGGTGCTTCTCCTCACTAGCATTGCAGCAACTCTGTCCAGATTTGAAATTCATTACGTCTCTCCCAGCCTGGGTGTTTTCCTCGCTTAGTAGCAAGTCTCAAGATTCATTTAAAAAACGCTCTCTTTCTCTCTCCGCTGATGGTGGGGCGCTCCTCTAGCAAGCCAGTCCAGCTCTGATGAAAATGCTCTCTCCGTACTAAAAAGGTTCTCTCTGCGTTGCAGGTTGTCGTGGACGCCGGTGCTTTGCCAGCTTTCGCGCTGCTGCTCCAGCATCACAAGGCGAACGTCCAGAAGGAGGCGGCGTGGACGTTGTCTAACATCACCGCGGGCAACACGACACAGATCCAGGCCGTCGTCGATGCGAAGCTGCTTCCTCCGCTCGTACACGTGCTCGCAAAGGTACGCTCGTACACATGCTCGTACACGCGCTCGCAAAGGTACGCTCGTACACGCGCTCGTACACGTGCTCGCAAAGGTACGCTCGTACACGCGCTCGCAAGAGGTGCGCTCGGTACACGTGCTCGCAAAAGGTACGCTGCGTACCACGCACTCGCAAAGGGTAGCACTCGTACATCACCTGCTTCGCAAAGGTACGCTCGTGCACGCTGCGCTCGCCAAGGTACTCTGTTACGGCGTGGATACTGTACACTGCCGCTCGCAAAGGTACGCTCGTACACGCCCAAAGGCGCTCGTACCACACCGCGTACGCCTCGTACACGCGCTCGCAAAGGTACGCGTCGTGGCACGAGCGCTCGCGGAAAGGTGCGCTCGTGCACGTGGGCGCTCGCAAAGGTGCGCTCGTACACGCGCTCGGCAAAGCGTTGCCTCGGCAAAGGTGGCGGCTCGTACAACGCGCTCCAAAGGTGCGCTCGTACACGCGCTTGCAAAGGTGCTCGCAAAGGCTGCGCTCGTACACGGCGCTCGCAAGGGTGGCTGTAACGTCGTCGAATTATCACACGCGCTCGCAAAGGTACATCTCGTACACCGCGCTCGCCAAGGTACGCTCGGTACGGACCGCTCGCAAAGGTACGCTCGTACACCCCGCACTCGCAAAAGGTACGCTCGTACACGCCGCTCGGCAAAGTTAGCGCTCGTAACACGCGTCCAAGGGGGATGCGGCCAAATACGTTACACGCGCTCGCAAAGGTGCGCGTCGTAACTTAGGCGCTGCGCAGTGCTCGGAGTGCCTGGACACGGCGCTCGCAAAAGGTGCGGGCTCGTACACCGGCGCTTGCAAAGCGTGCTCGCAAAGGTGCGCTCGTCACGCGCTCGGCAAAGGTGCGCTCGTACACAGCGCTCGCAAAGTACTCTCGTACCGCGCTCTGCAACAAGGTACGCTGGCGTACACCGTGCGCCCAAAGGTACGCTCGTACACCGGTCGCCTTCGCAAAGGTACGCTCGTACACGCCGCTCGCAAAGGTACGTGCGACACGCGCTCGCAAAGCGTACGCTCGATACACGGCGCTCGCAAAGGTGCGCTCGTAGCACGTGCTGTACACGCGCTCGCAAGGTGTCACGGCTTCGCTACCGCGCTCGCAAAGGGTACGCTGCGTACACGCGCTCGCAAGGTCGCGCTCGTGTACACAGTACGCTCGCAAAGGTACGGGTCGTGCACTGCGGCTCGCTAAAAAGGTGCGCTCGTACACGGCGCTCGGCAAGGTACGCTCGTAGCACTCGCTCGGTACACTGCCGCTCCGCAAAGGTGCGCTGTAACGCCGCCGTACACACCGCTCGAATAACGGCTCGAGTACGCTGTCACCCGCTCGTACACCGCTCGCCCAAAGGTACGGCTGCGTACAACGCGCTCGCAAAGGCTGCGTGCTCGTACACGCGCTGCGTAAACGCGCTACGCAAAGGTACGCCTCAGTACACGCCGCTCGTAACACGCGCTGCGAAAGGTAGCGGCCCCGGCTCCTCGTACACGCATTCGTACTACGTGCGCTCGCTAAAAAGGTACGCTCGTACACGCGCTCGTCACAGCTGCTCGCAAAGGTGGCCTTGTACACGCGCTCGAGGCAAAGGTACGCTCGTAACACGCGCCAGCCGCTGCGCAAAGGTACGCTCGTGCACGGCGCTCGCACAAGGGTACGCTTCGTGCACGCACTTGCAAACGTATGCTCGTACACCGCGCTGCGCAAAGGTACGGCTCGTAACGCCGCTCGCCAAACGGTGCGATCGCAAACGGGCGCTCGTAAGCACGGTGCTGCGCAAAGGTGCGATCGCCATAAGGTGCGCTCGTACAAGCGTCTCGCAAGGTGCGCTCGCTACCGGTGCTCGGCAAAGGTGCATGCAGGTGATCGATGATCCCCGCCGGCATGCACGAGTGTCCCTCGTGTGCGTGGTGTGGTGTGTGTGTTGTGTGTGTGCTGTGCGTGTGTGGCCGTGCGTGCGTGCGTGGCATGCGTGTGAGCACAGGGTCGGCTATGTTTCTGCCGCAATGTCCGCTACCATGCTTCGGTGAACGACAGCATCACAGTAGCAAATCGCAGTTTGCTCGTACTATTTACGATTTAGCGGTCGTAGCTTGGATGTTGCTAAAAATTTATGCCGCTTCACAGTCTGCACGAAAACTTCCACTCTCACTTGCCCAGCGGCCTTTGAAATGTATAATTCACTGGCCCACACGCCGTTTTACAGGCCCCGAATTAATGATCATCATATTATGAAAAGAGAAACAGAACTCCTGGTGCTATTCTTAGAGATTTTACTTCTTTCATTGAAATTGAACAAACTAAATTATCCACTTTCCTCTCCCATCTCCTTGTCACTGCGATCATACTCATCATCATCACGGCTCAATTCTATAATCAGAAAGGCTATTTCGACTTCGAAGCAGTAACTTAGCCAACATCGTATTGAAAGGCCACCGTTTGAAGACCAAAACCGGAACCGAAGTTGTCCGACCTCTGCGGCGACAAACACGTCATTGGGTGTTGACTAATTACTTCCCTACATAAGATCCGAAATATGATGCCTTATCGGTAAATATCGGTAAATTTTCATAGCAATTATCTGGGAATTTCTGTAAATCTTCACAAGAGCTTTCATCACATAAAGAAGCCTGAAATATCATTAATAGACCATTAAACTCCATTTTTTTCCACTGGCCATTGGGCTTGTTCCATTTACCAGT